CGTCCGACGTAGAACGTCTTGTTACGGTCACCGCCAGGCCAATAACGATAAAGTTTAGCCATAGTGATAGCTTGGAGTGGAGAGTGAGTGAGCTGGGAGTGAATAAAGTCCGATGCGGGCAGGAGTCTTGGGGGTAAGATGGCTACCTCTCAGATCATTCTGTATCTTTTATACCCCACTGAGCGCTCAAGACTGCAGGTCCGTGAGCTGAGAAGAAAAAGTGATAACAAGCCCTTGTGTGCTCCCAGAAAGTACTAGGTCTGCACGACAAAGAGTCGCGGCAGAGACATGCCAAATAGGCAGTTGGGAGCAGATGTGTTGTCATTGATTGGAAACGGTAGACAATGGCTTTATGACGAGATCAAGACTGGCTTCCCGCGTTTATGCCGCCAAAAATGGATGCTGGTTGTGGAACAAGTAGTAGCAAATCAGGAAGAACAGGCAACGTGGTTTGCCAGGTTGGCTGACTTCAAGTTCTTCTTGAATCTAGCACGTTGCCCGGGATCGGGCTTATTGCCTGCACCGATAGCTGAGTGTGACATGGCACCTCAAAGCACAATAGGAGATAGTAGGATCATTTTATTCCGCCAAGCACTGGGCAACTGTCCGTAGAAGTCCAGAAGCGTCTCTTTATGCACACAAACACAAACACGAGGCCTCAGAGAATCAAAAATCGATCTGGGCAAGTCTGAGCCTCCTTCATGTTCATCTCGATTATAGAGTTTACACAAGCCCCCTGTTGGAGTTCGCCCACTGGCGCCGCGTCGTGCGCCTGGGTACTGTACTGCATGCACTGGTACACGGAGCCGGGCAAGGCCCCTGGACGTCTTGGCCGAGCAGGCGCTGGTGGCGCATATTCACGACTCAGACGCCCGAAGGGTAGCGCCACGAAGTATTGTTCGATCACAGCCGAAATATCCTGGATAGGAGTAGGTGTTAGTAGGGAAGTGGACTGTAATAACTATTATTAGCTGGTTGGGTATTGAAAATCGCGGCGAGAGGATTTGCATGACACTGAGAAAAAACAGGTCACGGTGGCAGACTGACCGTCAGCGGCCCCTGGCTTCTCTGGCAAGGCTGAGAGTTGACTGAGAAGTTCCGAGTACGGCTAAATTACGCCTAGGAAGAAACCGAATATGATGGTAGGCCTCCGCAGCAGCATTGAGGACGAGTACTAACCAGTCTGTAGCTAGTATTAGGGTCCGAGGGAAACTCAGTCCTTGGAAGCGCCACCGACAAAACGTGTTACTTACTCGGGACTCCGAGGTGGAAGAAACCGGCGGTTTCCTTCTTATCTAACGCCCCTTAGTCTTGGTCGAACAATTTCTGCTAACATTTTCGCCCAGGCTGCTTTCTCGGTGGCGCCCTAGTAAGTACCAGATAAAACAGGCTCTTCGTTGTATCATGATTCCGAATGCCCAATAATCTGCACAGTTACGTTGTCGTTTTGAATCCTACTTCGGGGAAAGTCTTCGTCACCCCAACGTCATGCGTCCGTGGAAACTTGAAAGATTTGTCACCTGAATATTGGCGCAGTGAGTTTGAAAAATAACGATTTTCATCCGACTCCGATTCATCCCTACACGCCGTCTTATGCATCCTAGAATCTCAATTAGGACGCTCGAGTTCACGAACCAGATATGCGAGACTTGAAAGCCTTCCTTGTGATACTTCACACCTAAGGCTCGACTCTTCAGAAGTCGCTGAGGATTCTTGAGATCTACGAGATGCTACTTCCAGCTTCTTTCACATCAAACGTAACTCTGCTCGTTCTCACTAGCACCGGACAGGAGTCAGCCAACCTGGCAAACCACGTTGCCTGTTCTTCCTGATTTGCTACTACTTGTTCCACAACCAGCATCCATTTTTGGCGGCATAAACGCGGGAAGCCAGTCTTGATCTCGTCATAAAGCCATTGTCTACCGTTTCCAATCAATGACAACACATCTGCTCCCAACTGCCTATTTGGCATGTCTCTGCCGCGACTCTTTGTCGTGCAGACCTAGTACTTTCTGGGAGCACACAAGGGCTTGTTATCACTTTTTCTTCTCAGCTCACGGACCTGCAGTCTTGAGCGCTCAGTGGGGTATAAAAGATACAGAATGATCTGAGAGGTAGCCATCTTACCCCCAAGACTCCTGCCCGCATCGGACTTTATTCACTCCCAGCTCACTCACTCTCCACTCCAAGCTATCACTATGGCTAAACTTTATCGTTATTGGCCTGGCGGTGACCGTAACAAGACGTTCTACGTCGGACGCAGCATTAACCGTGTGACCAGCTCTGTGGGTACATTCCGTTGATATTTCCATTCACCGTACTGTCTTCTTAACTAACCAATGACTTCACTGAACTCTCTTAGCCAAACATAGAAACCATGAAGATCACTCTCCAGTTCCTGAACGGCGTTAAGGTATCGGTCCCCCTCAAAGATTGTACAGATGCCGTGGAATCGTAAGTTTACCAGTCGTATACAACGCCTTATTTATTGTTTACTTACTGATATCAACTTCTGTGTGGATCCTCAGAGACGAAATCACCCTGGCCCCATCGGTGTGAATGTCAGCGGAATGTCGCCCTGTTCATGAGTCG